AGACATTTTTTTCTTTTACCTTTATAATGTGTGGGATTTTTTTGTCCCTGTCCTCTTTCTGTTTCACCTCCTCACCTCTTCCCTTATTTTTCTGGAAGATTCATCTGTTAAAGAAGTCTCCTGTCAGCGACTTGGAATGTGGGTTCTGACTGTGCCTGACCGCAGAGCTCTTTGATGTTTCTCCAAGGCTGACTTCTCACCAGATCCCTCGTTTAGGTGTTATTTCCCCAGCACTCAGAGGCCTATAAGGTGAATTTGCCTTGTATCTTTGATATGAAGAGTTGGTGGGATCTGCTCTTTTCTCGTGTCCTGATGGTCAATTAAATTGCCAGAATCTATCTATAGCTATTGATGCCTTTACCAGCGAGTTCCTGTGTATATTCGAGTTCCTGTGTATATTCAAGAAAGGGCTGAGACTGTTATGCCTGAAAGACTCTGGAAACTTGAGAATCTCCTCACCCCTTCCCATGGAGATTTCCATAAGGATAAGGTTGCACTCAGAGGCTCATCCTCTCTTCCTCCGTCATGGTATCGGGATTCTACCTTAATCACTCCATCATCCTGCCAGCTGTGTCTCATTTCTCATATGGGAATGCTCCCTCCTCCCAAGCTCAGCGTGAACCACCAGTCTTGATGCTTTATCTGGTCCAGGCTCTAGCCCTTAAATTGTCCGTCTGACTTTGTGTTTCATTTGACCCTAATGTACTGGGTCGCACTGTCTAAAAGAGAATTATGTTCCTTCCAGTGTCTGAGTGCATTTCTCATTTCTTACTGCTGCTCCTGAGCAGATCTGTAACTTCAAGGTTAAGATAAGACACATTCCATCAGAACTATGTCGTCATCCTTGCCAGCTTCTGATCTGTGACTGTCCAGGAGATTTACAAGACAATTGCATGCCATTCTTTACAGAATATTATGGTTGGTCTCAGACTCCTGGCATCAGGCCCAATTTGATTTGTCAGCTGTTACAAAACCCATTTCCCAAAGAGAAAGGGACCTGAGCCGTGTGCCCTTTAGGCAGTTCTTAAAGAGTGGGAAAGAGGGAATTGATCTGACTCTTTATTTCCTAATGTTTTATTTTATTTTTTTTTGCTGAGGAATATCTGTTGCCAGTCTTCCTTTTTTTGCTTGAGGAATATTGTCCCTGAGCTAACATCTGTGCCAGTCTTCCTCTATTTTATATGTGGGTTGCTGCCACAGCGTGGCTGACCAGTGGTGTAGGTCTTCGCCTGGGATCCGAACCCGCGAACCTGGGCTGCTGAAGGGGCACGCTCTGAGCCTAACCACTACACCTAACCACTACGCCTTGGGGCTGGCCCCCCTAATGTTTTAGGGAGAGGAGTGGGCACCAGAATATTTTTGTCCCTCTCCTCGTCGAATTTACTTTTTTCCCCTGAAAGATTTCGCCAAAATGTTAGTGTTGCTGTCATTCTTTCCTGTCCTTTATCCCTTCACTGAATTAGTTTTTTCATTCTGCCATCTCCAGTGCTTTTCTGAGTTTTAAGGAGTAAGAGTAAGTATCTTACCCTTGAGAGAGAACGTACCTGTCTGTTCTCTGAAGGTTTATTAGTTTACCAGCGCCTAGTTAACAGACACTGCTCCTCCTTTATTGCTATCTAACATGCTGAGCTGCAGGAGTTACTGCCTGTGATACGGTTTAAGGGCTTAGGAATTTGGAAGGTCACATATTTCCTACTGCTGTTATATTTGGCCCTATAACATTTTTACAAAAGCTTCTCTTTGGGGGGACTTAACAGCTCTTTGGTTTCAATATAAACTCGCTCTTTCCCTAGGAGGTAGGCAGTGGGGATTTATTTGGACTGTTTTAATGATTCCAGGGTACGATCTAAAATTTATTCACTCAAGATCACACATGGCAAGTTAATCACAGAATCAGAACCCTGGTCTAATTCCTTTGGCGTTGTTTTCATATCCCTTAACTACAAGAAGTTTTTTAAAAAGTTAGGAAGAGTCAAAAAAGGCTGTTTTTACTGAGAGATTTCCTGATGGGTCCATTCAAAGTTGAGGAAATCCTCTGTAGTTGAAAAATGTCTGCTTTGCTCTCAATACTCTGTAGTTTCTTCTGTTTGATAACCAAAACAATCACCATTCTTGGTTTTTTTCCTTGGTTGGGTTTTTTGCTTTTGATGGTCCCTTTTTCTTATTCTCCTGTGGCAGCAACCCCGGGCTCTAAAGACCTGTATCTATAAAGCAGAGCAGGATTTTGGCACTCTCTAAAATGTTCTTTAGAGCCAGGAGAAAGGAGAATTGATAGGATTGCAAGTCTTTAAGTGTCTCTTTATCTCAGTCCTTTTCTGAAGTATTAGGGATTATTGATACACAGAGTTTTAAATTATTATATATTAATGTTTCAAGTGGGTAGTAATTATTTAAAAAATTGGTTTTATAACATTACAAGAACAGCTAATGAGAAGTGGTGTAAATTTAACAGTAATGATGATGGCTGGACTGTTCTCCCTTCTCCCTTTTTAAACTACTTAAGGATTAAATTTTTTTTCTACCTGTAATTTCAGTTGAAAGGTTCTTTGGTAGTGCTTCAAGTCTCTGGGTTCTGTTTCTGTATCTAATAATCCCCCAAAGGAGGAAAGTTCTATAGTATCTTTGAAATACTTCCCTTCCCCCCTTTCCTGTTATCCTGCCTCCCCCCAGCAGTTTTAATTAACTGTCCAGTGACAGATGGTAGAAAAGGCCTTGTCTAAAGTGCTTCTGGTGGGCTGCATTAGGGGGTGGGTGGTTTGTACTGATCCTGTTGTAGAAGGACCTTGCTTTTCCCCTCCCCCTTCCAGTTGAGCTATAATCCTGTTAGATGATCTTAAAATGCTATTGATTAACTCCCAGTGCTCTTAGAGGAATAAGCACAAGTTTTGCACTTAAAACGCAAGAACCAATTCCCTTGAGCTCTGAATGCCTTAGCCTGGAAGCTAAGGGAGGTACCTTCCAACTTCTCCACCCAGTCTTCACTGAAAAAGAAAGTTAAGCCTTTTAACTTTTCCGTTTGCCTCTCCCCCTTTAGTCTAGTACTGCTGCCAGTTGCCATGGCAACGGACTGGGACAGCTGCGCAGTGGCGCCCAGGCAGCTGGGTGGGGGCGGGGGAGCTGCCAGCCCGCCAAGCCCCAGACCTGGGAGGGGAGGCCCCTCCTGTTAGCCCAGAGGGAAAGAAAGAACTGGGGCGATCCGGTAGGTAAAGGAGGGAACCCCCATTCATCTTCTACCTTTAGGGCTTCTCTTCTGCATGAAGGTATAAAGGGAGATTTTCCTCTTCCCTCCCTCAAACTGAAGAACACATATGTAAATCCTTGTTTTTCCTCGTGAGGCAGGGGAGGCCATAGCCACAATGCTTAACTGCATGCATCTAACCCAGGGCTGGTTTTAACCCCAGCGCTCTGACCTAAACTGCTCAACTCCCGGAAATTCCAAGGTGAGTGGGGGTGGGGGTGGGGTACTCTCCCTGGAATATGACATTTCCTGTCTCTGGTGAGGTTGGAGGCTGTTTTTATTTTAAATAAATCAGATTTTTTTTTTCTTGAAGCTTAGGACTCTCTCCTAAATTCATGGAAAAATTATGTTGAAACCCCTTACCTACTTTCTTACCCCTACCCCCTTTTCCAAATAAAGTATTTTAATGAAAACTTAGTTTTATTACAGGGCAGTAATGGGTACAGACAGTTTTTTGGGTGGGCAGACCTATTGCTAGTAAGTTCTGGAGATGTGGTTTCCAACTATATATTCTTGGAATAATTCCTTAAATTTTGCTAATTTGAAGTAAATTGATAAATGCAACTTTTTATGCTGCTTGACTTAAATAAAATTCTGAGATTAGTAGTGGCCTTCCCTATTCCTGGGAGTGGTCTTCTGGTCACGATGGAAATATTTTAGAGAATGCTGAAAAAAATCTTTAAAGATTACAGCAAAATTAAAATGGAGTTCAGCTAAGAAAACAGTTCCTGCTACTCTATCATCCAGACTGTGGGCACCATTTAACATGGTTAAGGAAGAATTCTTAAAAATGATTATGGTAACAACAAGGTAGAAATTAAAAAAACTAGAATCTCTGCTGAGTACCCCCTGGTTGTGCATATTTCTGAGCTTAACTCAATTTCCACTTGTGTTGCCGTGCTTCAGCTTTCTTTGGGCCTATGAATGGTTCCTCTGTGTTTTGAGGCTTCATGTTGATGTGAGTCTGGGGCCAGACTACTTTTTCCTCCTCCTCTTCCTTTGGCCCAAAGTCAACTTCAGTTAAGAGGAGAGGTACCTCCTTAGCTATTTGGGTTAGTTGAACTTGGAGACGTGTGAACAATCCAATGGCTAATTTTGATTTTTAGGACTAAAAAAATTTTTTCTCCTCCCGGCCTCCCTCCCATCCCCAAATGAAAAAGGAGGCTTAGTGTGTTTGAGATGTCAGCCCTGCTTTTGTGAGCTGATGGATGCTCTGAAGGGACAAGCTCAATTTGTTTAAGGGAAATGTAGCGAGTCACTGAAAATGTAGTGAAAGATGCCTGAGCAGGCCTTTTTTGTGCTTCTAAGAGACCGGTCAGGATGCTCAGAGCAGGGGAAAGTTACATTTTGGTGGCTTTTCTTTTTTCATTTTTATGAATAACCTTATTCACCTTGGAGGGAAAGGTTTTCCTTCTATCACAGTTCTTTTAACAGAAGGTTTTCCACATTTCTCTTTGAATTCCTGGCTTGTAAACAGTTACGGAAGTCACCAGAAGTAACATACCACACTACTGGTCTTTTGGAATCTGAAATCAGAGGAGTTAGACAATTGTCTAATAATTTTGGTCTTGTTAGCTGAAGAGAAAGTTGAGGTTGGGAAAGTGGGGATTGACCTATTTTTAGATTAAATTCTTAGGACTCGTCTGTGGAATGCTTCCAGACCCAAGAGAAGAGTACATGGCCACTTTGTGTTATACCTGCCACATCCCAAAGTTTAACTCCTCACACGGATACTGACCATTTTGTCCTTCTCACTTGCAGGGAACCCGGTGGCCTTCGTCCTTCAGGTGGGACAGTGTGCGACATGGGAAAGAAAACCAAGCGGACAGCTGACAGTTCTTCTTCAGAGGATGAGGAGGAGTATGTTGTGGAGAAGGTGCTAGACAGGCGCGTGGTTAAGGGGCAAGTGGAATACCTACTGAAGTGGAAAGGTTTTTCTGAGTAAGTGCCTTCTCTTAGGCTTTAGGACTGCAGAGGTAGACACCTTTGGTTTACTTCTCCATGAACCATGGCTATCTTTGTTTTTTTCTTTCCCCACCTGCACTTCCTTCCTAAGAGTCAGAAGACACAGCAATAAACTATACTTGGAGCTGGTGTTCTAATAATAATGCTTTTGAGAGGCAGTAAGATGAATTGGTTAGGAATGTAGACTTGGGAGCTAGATTGCCTGGGTCCAGATTCTTGTTCCACAACTTATGATATAAGCTGGATGACCTTGGTTAGGTTCCTTAATCTTTTTTCCTCCTCAAAAATATAGAGATAAGAAATGGTACTTGTCATAGAGATGTTGGGTAGATGGTACAGAGCTTGATGCCTAAGCTCAGTGTAAGTATAAACAGTTGTTACTATTCTTTTGGATATAACTGAGCTAAAATAGATACATTTAAGCAGCAGCAGAAGTCATCCTCGATCCCATAGCCCATAGCTTTCCAAAATGGTCTTTGGATCTCAGAAGTGTCCTAGAACGAAGCACTCATCTTAATAAGAAACTTAAATCTGAAGGCCACATTTTTTCCCCCCAATATGTATTTGTAAAAATTTCAAATATACAGCTGAGGCAAAAGAAATTGAGTAAACACTCAGATAAACACTACCTAGTTTCTACAATTAACATTTTAATGTAATCTATCCATCTATCCCTGTATCCATTAATCTTTTTTTGTTTTTGTTTTTGGTGAGGAAGATTAGCCCTGAGCTAACATCTGCTGCCAATCCTCCTCTTTTTGCTGAGGAAGATTGGCCCTGAGCTAATGTCTGTGCCCATCTTCCTCTATTTTTTGTATGTGGGATGCCTGCCACAGCATGGCTTGATAAGTGGTGCGCAGGTCCACACCTGGGATCCGAACCCACGAACCCAGGGTCGCTGAAGAGGAGCGCTTGAACTCAACCACTATGCCACCAGGCCAGCCCCGCTCTATCTTTTCTTTAAAAAAAGACCTTAAAAACCCTCTTTTCAAGACAATGAGTTTTAAGAATGATACTGAAATGTTGACTAGAATGTCTGTTAGGCAGTAACTGGCTTTGTGCTGAAGTGCTGAAATAGATTATTCTTTCCTCTGGAATGTATAGAACTAGACACATTGAAGCATAGAAGAGGTAGTTTGAAAGGTGGAATACGTGAAGCTGTGTAATCATTAGGCATTTCTGATTAATTCTCTTCCTAGGATGCCTGATAACAACGAATGGATTTTTCAGAACCCCAGTGAACTGATAGGAACTGGTTTAGGCTCCTTAGAGTGGTGCTGTCCAATAGAAATATAATACAAGCCACATATGTGATTTTAAATTTTATGGTGGCCACATTAAAGAAAAGTGAAATTAATTTAAATAATATATTTTATTTAACATAATATATCAAAATGCTGTTTCAACATTAATCAACATAAAAACTGATGGAAATATTTTACATTATTTTTTCGTGCTAAGTCTTCAGAATTTGATGTATACTTTAGATTTTATAGCACAGACTAGTCACATTTCAAGTGCTCACCAGCCACATGTGGCTAGTAGTTACCATATTGAATATCACAGCTTTAAAGTCAAGACTTAAATATACTAGAAGATTCCATGTTTTGACAGTACCTTTGGACAAAGGTATGAATCAAGAGCCTTCAGAACATACTTAAGGTTATTTCATTACATGGATGAAAGTTTCTCATCTAGAGCACGGTTGGTGTTTAGGTCAGACAGTTCATGCACTGCAGGATGCTCAGCATCACTAGCCCACAGAGCACTAAATGTGGGTAGCACAGCCATCAGAATATGCCCTCATATTTCTAAAGAGGAGTAGTATCACAGCATCCGCTGCACATGGGAACTGAGTTTGAGAGACCTTGAGAACTATGAAATAGGAATTTAAATAACACCTAAAGATTTTGCAGGTGTTTATTGGGCCTGTTGAATCACCACTGGAAATTCTTGGGCATTTAGAAGGTACTTGAAACTGTCTATAACTGCAGTTGAGCTGCTGGTACCTTACATAGATAAAAGAGGGAAAGACAAGGTTTGGGGTAGACAGATTAAGCATTTGTTCTTACTTTGTCGGAAATGCCCAGGATTTCATTAAAGACTAGGATAAATTTTGCCCCTTCAGCATTGTGTACAACGAAGTACCTACTGTTTGCTAGGCAGTGGTCAGATTCTACCTCGTGTTCTCTTTAATTCTCATAACGCCATTAGAGGTATTTTCAGTTTACAGATGAGGAAATTAGTGAAGTTATTTGCTGAAGATAACATGACTGGTAAGTGCTAGAACAAGGCTCCAATATGAGATTTCTTTGGCCCTAAAACCAAGACTTTTTAAATTATACCATGCTGTCTTTTGGGTGAAAATTGGTTGATGTAGAAACAGCAATACCAATATGGTAGGAAAAGGAATAATCCCGTTATAGGACTGGCTTTCAGTGCTATTAAAAGAGACTCCTACTCCCACACCTACTTACTTATGTTATAGTGTTGGCACACCTCTTGATTTTGGTGCCTTAATTTCTTCTGGGATAGTAAACCTTCTGGTCTGTGGATTTGGGGGAAGGTTACTGTATGAGGTTTTTGTGGGGTTTTTTTTTTTTTTTTTTTGCTGAAAGGAGCTATGAAGGAGAGGCTTTTCCAGTTTTAGCTCAAAATGATTTAGAAATAAATTTTTTCTCATTCTTAAGCTCGTTTTACAGAAAGTTAAGTCTAGAGTAAATATCTCAGATTTTTCCATCATTCTGCTTCTTGAGTCAAGTTATTATGGCATGTGTTCAAACCATTCCTGTCTAAAGATACCTGATTTTAAAAACAAAACCAATAAAATACTTAATTTGGATAGTGTATACATTAAGAACTTTTTTCCCAAGTCAATGAAGGGATTGTAGATACTGCTTCTATGATATATTTACAGATGTATCTGAATATAAACTAGTCCTTACTATATAATCAAAAGAACCTCTGGCAGTGGCCAGGAGCGAAGACAATACCTGCTCTAGTTTTTCCCATGTTTTCTTGCTTTGATTCTATAAGCTTATGATGTAGTTGGTTTAGTTCTAAAACCCATGTCAGGAATACAGAGAATGACTTTGTGAGTACCAACTATTTGCTTTCTTCATAATAGGACTCCCTTGATCCAAGTTTAACTAGACCCAATTATTTAGTTTGGGTTTGGGTTTTTTTTTTGCTTATTGTAAAAATGTAGTTGATTACCTAGTGACTGTGTAGACTTGAATCCAGGGCATTGAATTAATGCACTCTAAGTCCCACTTCTGAGTCTTCTCCTTCTTATGGTTTTGCCTATATTCTAATGATTTAAGCCCTTACTCTCAAGTAAGTCTTAATTGAGCCCTTACTTAATGCCTTTTTTCTAAATGACTATTTTCAATCCCCCAAAATTTTGTTGACATTTCTTCAAAATAAAAGTAGCATATTTAAGACAGTGTAAACTGGGGGTGCATTATTTAAACTGGGGGTGCATTATTTATTAGATTGTCCTCTCTTCAGGATTTGCATAAATGATTCTATGTCTGAAATCACATTCTTTTGCCACTTATAAAACAGAATGCATATTTGAGTTTTTAACAGCTTTATTGAGGTATAATTTACCTCGTAAATTCATTGAAAATGGACAATTGAATGATTTTTAGTTAATTATTATAGAGTTGTGCAGCCATCACCACACTCCAGTTTTAGAACATTTCCATAACCACCCAAAATTTCCTTGAGCCCATTTGTAGTTAATCCCAAGCCCCAGCCCTAGGGAACGACTGATCTGCTAAATTTGTATTTCCTAGATATTTTGTATAAATAGAAATAGAATCAGACAATCTATAGCCTTTTGCATCTGGTTTCTTTCATTTAGTATAATGTTTTTGAGGTTCTTCCATGTTGAAGCAGGTACTAATTAGTACTGTGATCGTTTTTGTTGCCGAATAGTATTCTATTGTATGGATATACCGCATTTCGTTTGTCCATTCACCAGTTGATTTGAATTGTTTTCTGTATTTGGCTGTTGAAATGCTGCTATAAATAATTGTAAGTTTTTTTGTGGATATAGTTTTTCATTTCTCTTGGATAGATTTCTAGGATCAAATTTTTTATCTCCTTTAAGCATAGGGTTTCTTTCCTTTTTGCCTACTTGTCTTCTTTAAAATAAGGCATTGGATTTTATTTTTCTCCTCATTTTCCTTTTTTCTCCATTCTTCGTGCCCAGGGAGCACAATACTTGGGAACCTGAGAAAAATTTGGATTGCCCTGAGCTAATTTCTGAGTTTATGAAAAAGTATAAGAAGATGAAGGAGGGTGAAAACAACAAGCCCAGGGAGAAGTCAGAAAGTAACAAGAGGAAATCCAATTTCTCGAACAGTGCTGATGATATCAAATCCAAAAAAAAGAGAGAGGTAAGCTTCCTTTCCCCTTTTTCCCACAAACTTTCTTTTGCGGCCGCCGCCCCACCTCCCCCACACCAAAAAAGCCTTATTTTGGTTATTTCTGTTCTAAGGATGGCCTGCAAGGTAAATTGTTGAACAAAAGAGCTTCTAGGGAGGTATGTTGATTAACTACAGCTCCCCCTCCTGGCTGCGTGAGAAATGTAATATGTGTACGTCCACTGAATTGTGCTGAATTAAATCACTGTAAAACATTCAGCTACTCTCTGCCTTCTCCATGAATAGACGGCTAAGTTATCTTAAGGAGGGAAGGTCTTTGTTGAATTTTTTAAGGATAGAAAAGGGCTTTAAAATGTTTACCACTTCAGTTCCTTTTTTCTTTTGTTCCAAAGATAGCACTTACTTCCAAGCCATTATATTTTTTCTTTTTTTAATTGAGATGAAATTCACTAACATATAATTAACCATTTTAAAGTGTACAGTTCAGTGGCATGTATATTCTCTTTTGATCCTATTATTTCTATATACTGCAAATAAGAAATTAATTTTCGTCTTCCTTTTGAATCTTTTTATTATTCTATTTTGAAAGTGTATTTATGAAATTTTGGGTTGATTTGGTTGCTTTAATCCTTCTGATCTTCAGCTCTCAAGTAACTAGCATAAGCACTGTTATTGCCTCTCTCTTTTTTCATCTGTATCTTTTCTATCTGTACACACATACACATACCCCACCCACTAGCTTCCACTTCTTTTATTTATTTCAAGGTTGTGAAGCCTTTTGTGGTGAAGGATGTATCATACCCTTAAAGTTTAATAAAATAAAAGCATAAGTCCGCTTCTGAATCTTATAGCATCACTGCCATAAGCATCCCTATTTATCTTCATTCTACATGGATACCCATTTTTCTAGAGCATTAGTTCTCAGCCCTGGCTGCACATTAGAAGCACTGGGGGAAGGGAGGGTCTTTAAAAAACGTCCAGTGCCCAAGATGCACCACAGACCAGTTAAATTCAAATTTCTGTGGTTTGGCCCTAGGCATCAGTATTTTATAAAGACTTACACAAGTGATTCATAGGAGGGAAAATAGAAGACCAGCTTTCCAAAAAGAAGTGAAATAAAAGTGAAAGACTGGCGGCTGCAAGTGAAAGTAGACTCTGAGTTTGTGTCTGTCTCCTTATTTGTTTCACTGATTAATTTTATTTGTTACAACCTGCTTTTTAAAACTACCCTATTCTGGTGAGGTGTGTATATTATTATGATATACTGTATTGATAAAGAATTTGAGAATGCCTTCCCTTCTCTAAGGAGCTAAGACATGGTTCCTTCTTGCTTTTTTTTTTTTTACTTAGTCCTTTGTATCCTGGCTTTTGTCATTTGATTCATTCTCTAGCTAAGTAAAGAGACCAAAAAACCACACAGCATAAGACTTCTGACTAGCCATTCATGACTATACTGTATATTTCCTCAACCTAAGGTTTCTGTCCTTTTAAAAAGGAGCAGTCTGGCGTAGAGCCATTGGCCAGTGCAGAGAGTTCGTTCCCAGGCTAGGTTCTGATGCTGCCGACCTTGAAAACAACCCCCACACAATGTCCGTTACATTGTAATGTTCACCTGGGGCCCCTGACAGCATTCTCAGCAGTGCTGGCGGCTGTCAGGTAGGCAGCTGGGAAGATAGGTGATTGTATGTTTTAAAGGTACAGGAGGGGATTGAGTTTCTTTCTTTAGATGACTGTAGAAGAAATTTGTTAGTCGACATTATGCCTGATTTAAGATTACTGCCTGTGTGATGATTTTAGCATTTTCCTCACCTCGGCTCCTTTTCAGCACCTTGAACATTTTTCTTCCCTTCCCTCCCTATGTGGCAAACTGTTTTCAGCTGCCGGCTATGATTTATGACTCAGTTCTTGCGCCAGCATTCCAGCTGTGAGCAGCTGTGGGCACATCTGGGAACCTTCTCCTCTTAAGCACCCCCAAAAGAGGCTGTGTTTTTGAGTCAGTATCTCCCCTGATCCATACATGGAATTTCCTTCCCAATGTGGGTTCTGGTATCTTTAGGGACCACCTGGACCCTGAATGCTTTGTATCTCTTGGAGGAAAGCAAGATGAATGTCAGATCAAAGAGATTTTATTATGAAAATCGGACATCAGAGATTTAGTTCATTTGGGCAGTCTTTCTAAATTTTTTTTATGTGTTGCTGCTAGATAAGCTTGCTTTATCTTCTATAATAAGATTTTTTAAATTACCTAGTTTGTATAAAATTTTTCCATTTTGCTCTCACCAGTGCCATCACACCTGAATCAGACTGTGAGCTCCTTGTCTAGATGGCATGATTGCATTTTGACCAAGTTTGAATAATCCCCTAAAGAATTATCCGTTTGTTTGTTTTAAATCACTGTCCAGGTCTGCCCTCGAATGCTACTTACTGCCTCGTGCACATCAGGAGGGATGGGCACAGACCAGGGCCTCTTCCCCAAGTGCGTGGGTTCTGTGGGATGTGAGCTCTGGAAGAATGCCGTAGTTTATGGTAGTGCCTTGAATCCTTCTTACCTCCATTCTTTCATCAATGTAAATGACATGTGAAAAGAAGGATTAAAAATATTGGTCAGTGTCAAGGTAAACTAAAAGTCTAAAAAAATAAAGATTGAGGGGTGGTGTATTTAAAGTTTATAAAATGAAAGAAAGGGATTAGTTTGGCTAAACATGGACTTGTTATCTTGGAAGCAACAACTTAGGGCTAGTGAATTTATAATATTAAGGAGATTAGATTAGAGGAGTTCCTAGATGTTGACTCCAGAATATCTTAAGGGATATTGAAGAATTGTAGGGGCCGCTCCTAATCTTTTGAAGGAATACTGGAAGGACAACTGCATCTTGCAAAAAGATCTCTTGGCATTACGGTCACTGGCTGACCCAGTATTGTATTTCTTAAGTTCTAAGAATTTTATGAATTGGTGACAAAAATGGTATCAGGTCATATTAACGTAGGTTGTGCTTTGTTGAGCTGAGAAACCAGGAGGTTTTTTACTCTTTCTCCAAGCTGTAACCTTTCTTCATCTTCTATTTATAGCAGAGCAATGATATCGCTCGGGGCTTTGAGAGAGGACTGGAACCAGAAAAGATCATTGGGGCGACAGATTCCTGTGGTGATTTAATGTTCCTAATGAAATGGTGAGAGAGATTGGGCCTCACTCTACTATTGTGTTTCTTTCCCAGTGACTTGAATTTGTATGGAAGATAGGGAGGGAAGCCTGAGTATTCCCCAAGAAGAATTTTGCTTGTCAAGGATCTTTAACTGATACCAGCTGTCAGTATCAAATGGGAATTACGGTTCAGAATGGTTTTAAGACATTCTCAGGCTTTGGTATTAAGCCAAATTATAGATATATTAGCCCACATACCAGAAGAAGGTAGATTTGAGGTAGGAAACATATAAACATGACCTAACCATTTATTTACACGGTTCTGAATCATTTACCGTCAGACCGTGAGCCTGTGGCCGTGGGATAGGAGTTGAGTGAGGCTTTCTGCCGTCACTGAGGACCAAGACCACTGAATAATGTCTGAAAGGGAAAAATAATCTCAGCAAAAAGCATTAAGAATCATAGTGGCCAAAGCACAAGTTATTTCATCCGGTAGAGGGAATGGCTCTTAGAGGAAAGTGTAGTTACTTCCCCTCAATTTGGTTTCTTAAAGACAGGGTGATTTATGGTGTGGCCCTCACTACCTCTCTGTTTCCAAGTGTTCTGGGCTTGTGATTTAAGTTGGGTCTCTAAATAGAGGGTTCGTGCTACAGTGCCACTAAAGAAGCTAATTACCTTAAAAGTTGTATAATCAAAAGGTTTAATATTTTATCTGATCGAAATTTTGCTAGTAAATTACCCAGAAGCCTATATTTGAAGAATCACTGTATTCTGTCAGAAGTATGGAGGTGTATTGACTGCTTTTCCCACTCAGCCGTATGTGTACTTATGATTTATGTTCACATATTAACTAGCTCTTTCCACCACAGTCCAAATATGAGTATCTGCTCTAAGCTGTGTCTTTTCCCCTCTTCTTCTCACCCATAATATTTACCTCTGTGAATTGAACATCTCAGTTTTCTAGAAAAGGGGGTAGTTGTTTTTGCTCACATCTCAGTGGAATTTTGATTTAAAATATTTTTTTTCTTGGTTTGGAATCCTGATTAAGGAACTCCCTAGATTTTTTTTTTTTTGCCCAGAAAGATTTGCCCTGAGTCTAACATCTGTTGCCAATCTTTCCCCACCCTCCACAGAGTCTAAGTACATAGTTGTATATCCTAATTGTGTGTCCTTCTACTTCTTCTATATGAGCCGCTGCCACAGCGTGGCAACTGACAGACGAGTAGTGTAGTTCTGCAACCGGGAACCCAACCCAGGCTGCTGAAGCAGTGTTGCACTGAACTTTAACCGCTAGACCATCAGGGCTGGCTCTAGATTTTTTGTTATACAGGTAGTAGAGCCTGTGTGACTTGGATAATTGAAATTTATAGCTAATCCCTACATTTAGTTTTAGTGATTAGATTTTACATTCTCCCTTACTCTCCCTTTTATAAGTTCTGTTGCTGATGTACATTTCTGTTTTCTCATTGTTCCAATCTCCAGTTCTGACCAAAAGGATAATGAGTGTTTAAAAGGCCACAAGATATGAGGAGGGTTAGGACCCTTTGGCTTAGATGATCTAGAAACTGGATTGATTAGTTTATGCATAATCAGTAGGGCTGAATGTAGGTTTGATTGTGTGTTCACTCACCTGCTCATACAAACAAATAAAAATTATAGGAGCAGAATTTATATAATGTAATTATCAGCCTTTTGATTAATCCTGCTATGTTTTCCATCTAAATTCTAGCTGAAGACTTCTATTTCTATCTGATGTAGTAGTTAAGTGATATTCACTAATCATTCATTTACTTAAATTTTTCCTTGAAAATATTGAAATGTTAGGGTCCTTTTCACCAGGAAATCAAGTCAGCTAAATCCTTAATGACATAAACCTATGCTTGGACAGACTCTCACTCTTACTTCCTCTCCTTCTAAGTCTCGTATTCTTTCTCTCCAGGAAAGACACAGATGAAGCTGACCTGGTTCTTGCAAAAGAAGCTAATGTAAAATGTCCACAGATTGTGATAGCCTTTTATGAAGAGAGACTGACGTGGCACGCATATCCTGAGGATGCGGAAAACAAAGAGAAAGAAACAGCAAAGAGCTAAAGGAGGGGGTGGTCTCTGTCATTTCTCTTTGTACATAATACATTTACCTCCCTGCCTCCTCTCCCTTCTATCCACCCCCTTCTATCCTAAACACATCCATAAAAAATGTGCTTATCACTGTGCTCCACAGGAGAAATGTTGGTATTGGTTCTCTTGTAACATAACTGATGGTCTGATTCATGATAAGTGTCTCTCTGTGAAGACCAGGCATTTACATACTGTGTGTTATTCCTACAATTTTTTTCCTTTGCCCTGATCTCTTCCTTCTGCTCCCCTGTGACCTCAAGATGAGTTTTAACTTTTTAATCACCTTAGAGTCTTGATCTTTCAGGGTTGGTCGCTTTTTAGATTGGGGGGTTTTGTTACAATGGTGATGAATTTAGGTTTCTTGCTTTGGTTCTTAGAACATGTTGATGACCACCTAGCCTTTTTGTTTTGAGATGTTGGGATGGAAAATATGTTGCCCATCTTTTTAAAAAGCCAATAGCAACTGCCTACCTGTTGGGGCTTTCCCAGCGTCATTCAGCTCTACCCAGGAGAATACAGGGTTCCTAGTGTGGTCTTCTGGGCCACCCTCTGTTGTTCATCCTCACCCAACCTCCCAGAATAGCTCCATCCTTTGGAGGACTTGAAATTTTACATTCAAATTTGTCAAGGCACTTCTTTTAGTCCCAGGACTTTTGGCCTTGTTTCTTAGCAATCCCTGATTCTGCTTCTGCAAGGTGGTGTATCTGTCATAAAATGACAAGATAATTAACTGTGGAGATTTTTAGCTATTGGTACATGAGGATGATGGGGTAGGGTACAGTTGTCTTTATTATCACATATGGCATATATGTATTATCTCCTTCCACCCCTCGCATTTGGATTATATATTCATGTAGGTGTGTGATTGCCTGGTGCTTGCTTTTGCCAAGGTGCTAGGCACCCTCCAACCCTGCCAACTTTTGTGGCCTCCCAAAGCATTCCTGTTACCAAAGAGGCTTCAAACCTAACCCTCACTTCTCAGTGGACCCAAGTTTCCCCTCCTGTGCCATTATTTTCAGTGGGGAATTCTTGGAGGGGAGCCATTGGCCACGATATCAATTATGATAGTCACAATATCATAAATATTCACAGCGTTTATAGTCATAAATTTCCTGCTTTGTTGACTCCTGGATTTGCCACCAAGAGTCCCCAAAGTATTAACGTGCTTTCTTTTTTCCACCCTCAAACTCTTACTTGTATCTTATTTTTAAAAATGCGTTTCTATGGAAGACTATCACTTCAGAGAGTGACAAACCCTGGCATTAGTGTGTTGACACAACCTTCTCTCCCTACTCAGCAAAATATTTCCCTGTTGGCTTCCTCCTGCCTTGCCATTATATTGAGAGATTATTTTTCTGATCATATCCTTCTGCCTTTGTCCCCCAAGAAATGCCCTGCTTCTCTTGACCCTTTTTGTCTTGTAGTTGAGGGAGGCTAGAGAATCAAGACTAAAAGTAAGGAAATAACAGGGGTTTGAGCATCCTTGTCCCAGCCCAAAGCTGAGGAAATAAGAATAAATGCTTAAAATCGCCTTAACTCTAGAGTTCACCAGCCATTGAGGGTTTTTTTTGTTGTTGCTTTTGATTTTTAAAACATACAGCTGTCTGGCCAGGAGCGTTCAACCATTTCTGGATTATTCAGAGTAATGAGGGGAGTGGATAGATTGCTGCAGTTCACAGATGAGCTGAATAACATGCAAATCATATGCCCATTCATAGCATTTGTTAACATTGCTTCCCTGCTCAGCTGCTGATTGAATTCTGTGGGCTTGTATAAATTATGTCAAAAATTATACTGCACAGTTGAGAAGACAGCTGTTGCTGCAGTGACATGACAGACTGGAACAATGAAGCTTTTGGTTTAAGTCATCCAGGAAAATCCTTCTGAATGGTAATGTGTTTGGGTGAGAACTCATAACCCATACCTCAAGTGGGTAGGAGTTTTATCTCCATCTTCTTTTACTCTCTGAAGGAATTAAAGGCCTAGATCAAGTGCTAGTTAATTGACAGTTGTTAGTACTTAATCTGATGGGTATCTAAACGAAAGAAAGGGTGGTCAGGAAACAAATTTGTCATATAAGTAACCAAGGATATCAATTAGGGTAGACAAGAATAGGACAGAAGTAGACCATAGCCCCTGAGGAGGTGATCTGGGCTCTCACTTTGCAGGTAGAGAAAATGACAGCTTCTCCAAGTAGCCACTGTGTGTCTCCCAGGAGCAGTGGGCATGTAAACTACAGTGACCATATTTTTAAAGCCAGAATCTAGCATGTGAATGAAGAACACAACGGAATTATTTTGTACTGAGATTGGTCCTGAGAAACTTGGGATATGTGGTGGTTGTGGTTATGGGTAATATTTAAGACATTCATCAAAATGTGATTTTCTTTTAACAAAATAACCCCAGTATCATCGACTACTCATTACCCCTTTAATACCTTGCTCTTTGCTTCATTCCTCTTTTCTGTCCACGGTTTATTGAATCATGGTCTTGTACGGAGTGCCACCGAAACAACTTTTGTTCTCTCCCTGCCTATCCACAGCTTCTTCTCTAGGAATGGAGGGAGCCGGAGGCCAGTACTGCTTTCAGCCCTCAGCAGAAAGGAGACCAGATGCCGGCCTCTGCCTCCGGCATTTGTTAGTGCTGAGTAGCTGTCCTGGCCCTTGGAGAATTGCAGCCTCAAACAGAAACCTGTTTTCATGGGGCTTTCTCCTCTCAGAAGAGTTAGTAGCCAGAGGCTAAGTAAGCACTTTTAAACATCTAGGTCTCAGGTGCTCAAAGTCTATTTTTCCTGTCTTTGGTCTTCTTTCAAAACATCTTTTCTAATGCTGAATTTCTCCTGGTGATCAGCATTCAAGGATCTCCCTTTCCACAGAGTGTAGCAGAGCTTTGTCCAGCAGTCTGCCAAGGTCATCGTAGCTGCTTTTCTGAGCCCTGGGCTGGGCATATGCCTTCACGTTAAGATCAGCTGTTAGGAATGTCAGCCCTGATGGAAGCACCCTTTTTTAATCTGGGGAGAGCCGTATCATTTTTTCTGCTGCAATCCAGGGTTGTCTACACAAGGGAACATTTGGACCTGTGGTGCTCCTTAGCACTCAGAAGGCTACGTGGTCCTTGGCTGTCTCCCAGCCATAGCTTTGTACTATGTGTTGTTGATGAAAAGTTGGTCCTGTTCCTGTAGCTTGGGCAGTTAGGTTATTCTTAACTCTTCTCATTTCTGTTCTGTAGCCACCCTGCAATCCATTTTCCTTGTATTCAAGCCAAATTGTAGGGCCTTGGGGAAGGTGCTTGGGATTTTCATCATGTGATTTTGTTGAATCTGTGTTTAGGCCAGCTCACCTAAGGTATAGGGAGGCATCAGAGGGATCTGTGGGCTGGGGAGCGATTGTCTTTGCCCTTAGGGTTCAAATTTGAGGGCCTAAAATACTACTTTGCAATGACATGAGAACCCCAGGAAGGGCCGTGTCATTAGGTTTAAAATGTGGCAATTGTTTCTCACAAATTAGGTCAAAGGAAAAGCTCATTTTGCAGCCATGATTCCATCCTTTTGGTTTAGATTTTTAGAGTAAAAATTATAGTGTTGAAGTCTCTACCTTTGTAATCAGACCACCAAGCAAGTATACCTGTGGCAAGGCAGAGAGGAAAGGTCTGGACCCAGTGTATTCCAGTTTCATCCTGGCTTTACCGCTAATCATAAAAAGTTATGTTTTCGAAAATAGAGATGTTACCAGCCTTGTGCCCAAGAGCATATGCTCAGAATTGGGTGCCCCCCACCCAATTAATAGTGGTGGATTTGTAGTGAGCCATCCATATTTCAGCCACATTAGTGTACACAACATTTCATTCAATAAACATTTTTTGGCCCTGGGGATACAGAGTTCAAAAAGATGCAGTCTCTGACCTCAACTTTCATACTGGTGTGGGATGATCCATTAATAGTTCAGTGTAATAAATGCTGTAAATGGGTATACATTTTTGACTTGGAGGCAGAGGCAACTGGTTGGTATAGTTCATGGCGCTAAAGTAGGAAGGTGCTGGTTGGTTCATCTGTGGAAAAGGCCTATATGACCTGGAATGAATGGAGCTAACTAGCTGTAGATAGAACACAACAAAGGCTTGTTTTATTCCAGGAAATAAAGATAACTGAAGGTTAGAAATGCTATTTCTGAGCGAGAAAACAGGTGAGTGGGGATTGAGAACCCCTGATTTGAGTCCCTGTTTTAGGCTCTTTGCCAAAGTATTTAATGGTCTGGTTAATCCTTGCTTGTGGGAAGTATTAAGTGTGTTGCAGATCCAGTTGTGTGTTGCTGCATTATTGTGAGTTCTGTAACATTGATTCCTCATGGACATTTTATGACAGTTGCTCACACCTTTTTCAGTTTCTCATCTCTTTTGGAAGAGTTAACATGACTGGCTTGAAGCCTAAAACAGGGACATACTTTCCAGTGATAAATTTGCTAAAAAGAAGGTTTGGGCACATCTGTTAACACCTGGGCATCTATTCTGGGCAATGTAGTTTTATTCAACACTGCAAGATGGTAATTTCTAAGCAGACACTTGTGTCAATTATGTGGAAACCTCTCTCTCGGAAATGCACATCCCCTGGAGTTTCTGCTTGAGTCAGTCTAGGGAGGTCTAGGGCGAGGCCTAGCCTTGTTGGGAAACAGTCTGACCTTAAGAAATTTCTTAGTTCTGACCCACATAACCACAAGAAAAAGATACTTTTCTCTGCCTGGATAATTGAGAGTTGGATAATTGAGAGCTGACTAGCTTTGAAAGTCAGAATTCCCAGGAATTAGAGTAACTGTTCTGGAAAATTAAAGTGTGAAGGTTCTTTGGCCAGCTTCATAAAAACAATTCTAGTTTCTTTTTGCTTGCGCTGGATTTCTTGAATTTTAAACTACCTCATATTCTCTTTTTAGAGTTACTTCATCTTGTCATTGCCACTTTAACATCACGCCTGATTTGGTTGTTTCCTAAGATGGAATTTTTCCTATTTGTTGACAGCATGTTCTCTTGCCTTTTCATCCTGATCCTCATTTCACCTAACATCATCTCGTCTTGCTCCTCTGTCAGAGAAATGTTTTAAAATAGTTTAAAATTTTGGTTTGTGGGAAGAAAGTGATCCTCCAGTGCTGTTTGTCTCTGAGGTCAGTAAGAGAAGGAGTTAAAACAAGTTGGTGGGGGAGGGGACAGAAACCACACTGGAGGCACCCACAAGGGAAGAGCCATTAATTAAGTCAATTTCAAAGTCAACTGATTGTGATCATTAATGTCACAATAGATCAAAACCTAATTATCACAGCCTAGGTAAGAGCCATCAGTATTAATCGGAAAATCTAATAGGAAACTATTATCAAGAAATTAGGCCAAATTGAATGCAATGAACTTTTTATCTTGTCACTCTCTCTCTCTTTTTTTTTTTTTGTGGTGTCCCCTGGCATTGGCAGGTGTGACCCTCACGGTTGATCCAGGCCCCGGTGGCCAGTTCATCACACTTTTTGAGAAATTCCAACACAGACTGAACCTGGCTGTCATTGCTGCTTTCATCAGCCTTGAACTTTCTCATCACCTGGAGTTGTTCAGTGTGATCAGCAATCAATGGAAAAGTTCTATAACATTTATATTTAGGTCTTGGAATGGTTGGTCCTTCCTGGAACTGGAGTGTCCCTGGTGTGCTGATAAATCATTCTTTGAGCTCCCAATGTATGTAGAATCCTGCTGCTCTGGCTCCTGCGAGTGGGTACGGAGGAAAGGAGGGGCTTCCTGCCTGGAGATTGAGAAGATAGAGTTGAGTCATGTTAAGGCACTTTTAAGGTTCAGTCAGTCATTTGCAGTTTCCAGTAGCTTTATGATTTGACTGTAAACCAGGGCTGGCTGTGGGTGTAGGTTTTTCCCCCTAGTTTTAGGATAAGGGTTATAATGATTTTCACCAGAATCCAGTGTAAATCCAAAGGACGGGAAGAAGTGTTTTTTCTTTTGTTAAGGAGTTATGCCTCTGGCAAGAGGAAAAAATATTACAAGAGTGTTATGATTAATTATGGAGAACATTTCATCCCCTCTCCCTGAATGGAAAGGTAGGGTCACCATTTATGTTCTTCATCTTCAACTGTGTGGAGATGCTGCAACTCCTGAAGTTGGGCTGAGGGAGGAAGGTTGGGAAGGTGCTGCCCTCTGAGGGTTGTGGGAGGGAAAGGAAGCAGCAGGAGGGTGTTGCGTGGGCCGGGATTCCTGCGCTTCTAGCTTAGCCTGTAGAGAATGTTGCCACTGCTCTGGCCGGTGTTGGCCTTTCCCCACCAACCTTGCAGCTCAGAGCACTACCCAGACCACCCCTGGGAAACGGTTCTTATCTTCCTGCTTGAGTGTGGTCTTGTCATTCTGGATTTTAGGAATTTGGATTACTCAGTATAGAACTTTGGGAAATTGGTGTGTCTTGGTCCTTCACCTCTTAGGATAAAGTGAATGTTTCTTTATGAAAGAATCATGCCCTTAATGTTTAAAACGTAATTTTATTTTCAAAACATCCGTTAACACATGACTTTCAGAAGCAGTTTGTTTCTCCAAGTTCCTCGCTAGATAAAGAATAGGCCCTCAATTAATACTTATTGGTTGATTGAGTTCATCTAGTTTGCAGAGTGAAGTGTACCTGCTGACTTCCCTTTGCTCCCAGGTGCACTCTAAGAAGTCATATGCTCTAGAGAGTGGAACAAGAACTGAGTGGGTGCTGACTATGTGTGCCAACCTCCCCAATGGATTCATAATGGCTGACCTTGGGCAAGTCGCTCCTTTCAATGCCTCAGTTCCCCATCTGTCAAATGGGGTTAATAATACTGACCTACCTCACAGGGGTGTTGTGAGGCATTATAAATCACAGTTGATAGAATACTTTAGGGTCCTCGACGGAGGATGCCTTGAGCTGAAGTCTAGGCCTGACATAGGCTTTAGTCCTCGCTAAGGTGTCCCAAGATTGGAACTACGTAGTGACCTCGGCAAGTTCTCTGCCCCCCACCCCTCATCAAAGCTGCTAGTTCAGATGTTGACAGTGTTTTCGTGAATGTTGGAGTCTTAATAGTGCAGATGTAGGATGTTATGGAGGAAGGCACTTAGTATTTTCTATGTCTTGCATCCACAAAGAGAGGCTGTTGCAAACCCAAGAGCATTGAATTAGGAAATCATGAGGCAGGGATACTACTGCTTGTTTCTCTGCAGGTTGGGAATTAAGGTCCCATGGCCCATGGGCTTGGAACAGACTGGGGCTGTCTCAGGAGCAAAGCAGACACAGTGGGTTTGATTTATATAGTTGCTTGTCGCTCCCCGAACTGATCCCTGGACATCTAGGTCACTGCACCGCTTCGTGATATCTGTCCCCGA